GGTTTGAATCCTCCCAAAATGAACAGAATCACTTAGGTTTCTAAACCCCCACTAAACCCACATTTAAAAAACTAAAATGGAATGAATGAGTGATGGCCTTAATTTAAAGATATGAAGACGATGATTGTGAATCTTACCTTTAAAATGTTGTTTAGAGTATGAATGTGTTAAAGTTTCTACCTTTCTTAAGATACCATGGAAGCAAAAGAGAAGAAGGATGGATGAAGAAGATAGTTAATGAAGAAAAAGAGAAATTAAGGAAATTAGACGTGATCTCATTAATCTTAATTGGTTTACAGATTTATTTTTTAACAATGGTATAATTACTTTCTTGGTCCTCCTGATTTTGGTTGCACACTAAAAATACCCTTTTTACTCTCTATTGGGCTTAATCCAAATCTAATTTCACTTATTCTTGGGGTTAAAGCTTCATATAAGCTAAGGAATTTATTTAAGGCCCATCTCGAGTTAGCCTAAACTCCTAACTCGAGATCTAGGGCATTATAACTCTCCCCTCCTAAAAAGAAATTTCGTCCTCAAAATTTATCTAGGTAGAAGAGGTGAGGATATTGAAGCTATATGTCTTACTCGATTTCCCATGTTGCTTCCTCGATGCCATGGTTCTTCCATAGCACCTTTACCAGAGGAATTTTCTTATTCCTTAACTCTCACATCTTTTTTTCTAGGATTCTAACTGGCTCTTTTGTATAGGTCATGTCTAAGCTAACGTCAATTTGTTCTAGGGGTAGGACGTGAGAAAGATCATAATGATATCTCTTGAGCATTGACATATGAAACACATTGTGAATACTCTCTAATTATGGTGGTAAGCCTAATATTTAAACCATTGGCCCGACTCTCTCTAGTACATAATAAGGCCCTAAAAAACACGGAGTCAACTTCCCCTTGCACCTAAAATAGAGTATTTTATTCCAAGGTGAAACCTTGAGGAACACTTTGTCTCCAACTGCGAACTCAATGTCTTTACGCTTCAAGTTTGTGTAAGACCTCTACCTATCTGAAGCCTTCTTTAGCTAGTTATGAACCAATCGAACCTTTTCCTCTGTTTCTCTTATCAAGTTTACACCTATTATTTTACCCTTACTTAGCTTTATCCAACATAGAAAAGTCTTACATTTGCACCCATACAAGGCCTCGTACAGAGCCATCTAGACAACTCATTCTGATTGGTCATCTGTCTGAGGATGAAAAGTTGTGCTGAAATGTAGTTTGGTGCCTAAGAAAATATAAAGGGCTTTCTAGAAGCGAAAAATGAATAGGGGGTCCCTGTCAGATATGATGGAAGTGGGTACACAGTGTAACCTCACTATCTAACGGATGTACAAGTAAGCTAACCTCTTTAAGGTATAATCCATCCTAACTAGGTAAAAGTGAGCTGATTTAGTTAGGTGGTTTATAATGACCCAAACTGCGTCATAACTCTGTCTGGATATTTGTAACACGGTCACAAAGTCCATGGTTACCCTATCTCATTTCCACAAAGAAATCTGAATGGGTTGAAGAAATCCTATAGGAATTTAGTGTTCCGCTTTAACCTACAGACACACTAGACATCTAATAACATACTCTAACATTTCCTTTTTCATGTTTGGCCACCAAAACAACTGACGAAACTCCTAGTACATCTTGTTACTACCTGGGTGTACTGAGAGTGGACTACAATGAGCCTTATGGAGAATCTTACTGTGCAATTGAGCATCTGTGGGTACGCACAAACGACCCCTAAAGTACAATATATCTCCATAATATTTTTGAAACATGGGGCTTCACCCTGACGAACATGCTCAATCTACGTTCTTAACTGCTCATTTGAACTCATAACTCATAACTCAACTCGGCTAACAAACTGTAATCACTGGCTATACTCAAACAAGCTAAGAGGGCTCGTAACTCTGTCATTGAGTTCTTACTCAAAGTGTCTGCCACAATATTAGCCTTTCATGGTGGTAGTCTACACACAATCGTAGTCCTTAAGCAACTCGACTCATCTGTGTTGTATGAGGTTTAACTCTTTCTGATAAATGAGATACTTGAGGCTCTTATGATCAGTGAATATATGACACTTGTCACCCAAGAGGTAGTGTCGCCATATCTTCAAGGTGAACACTATTACTGTTAGCTCAAGGTCATGGGTAAGGTAATTAAGCTCATGAGGTTTAAGATGTCGTGATGCATAAACTACAACCTTGCCCTCATGTATCAAAGTGCATCCAAGACAATTCAATGAGGCATCAATGAAAATCATGAAATCCTTACCCAACTTTGGTTGGGTCAACACTAGTGCTTGGGTCAAGATAACCTTCAACGTTCAAAGCTCTCTTGCCGCTTCTTATTCCAAAATGAAGGGGACTCCTTTTTGAAGCAGCTTGGTTAACGGGTAGCTATCATCGATAAGTCAAGAATGAATCAATGATAGTACCTGGCTAAGCCAAGGAAATTATGCACACCTGACATACTTTTAGGTGGATCCCAATCAATAATGGCTTAAATTCTCTGGGGGTCAACTCTAATGACGCTTGTTGATATAATATGACCCAATATAAAAACCTTGAAGCCAAAACTTGCACTTTATAAACTTTGCATACAACTTTATGGCCCTGAGCATCTAAAGAACGATATGGAGATACTAATTATGCTCCTCCTCTAATACGGAGTACACTAGGATGTCATCCATAAACACCACCACAAACTGATCTAAGTATAGGTGGAAGAATTAGTTCATTAATTCCATGAATATTGTGGGGACGTTGGTGAATCCAAACAATATTATGATAACTCTATAAAAAGGCATATTTAAGACCTTTTCACTTAAGTTATTGATTGTCTAAGATCCCATTTAGGATCATATAGATGCATTTAGGAGCATGTAGTTGCATGTGGTGGAATTATGTTTGTCGCGACATTTTATTTTGTACTCGGTAATACTTTTTGGGGAAGGTGTTTGTTTGGTGATGTGCATGATTTGGGAGCAAGGAAAAGAAAAAGGGAAATGTCGTGACATTATAAGACTGCTGAGCAGAATGCAAATGCTGATTCAGTTGGCATTTCGAGAGCGAACAAAATGAAATAAGATATTTTTCAGAGCCAACTGTCCCTATCTTCACGTGATCTCTACCCGTGAGGAGACACCTACCTGGAGGGGGACCATGCCCTAATGCAGCTAATTCTGCTGGACCTCAACATGCTACAACTTGATCTTGTCGGGTATTTAGTCAGCCTCCCAGACTGGACCACTACCATCTTCCCAAGGGGAGCATTGCCACATCTTCTCACCTTCACGTGAATGAAACATGATTTGGGGTATCCTAGGATTTTCAACACAAATTCCTAGGTTTATTCTCCCCTATAAATAGGAGATAAAGCCACATTGCAAAGAGACTATTACACTCACCGCCTTGAGCCAGAAAATTTGGAGGAAAAAGGTCTCTCCTTTCTCCACCTATCCTATTTGTCGTGGCATTCCTCCATTGACAAGCTACAGGGAGTGGTGAACTAGGCATCCAAGAGGATCTAGCTCATTGGGATAGTTCGTGGTGGCCCAGGGGAAGCTCCGACAGTGCACGTCAAAGGCTTTTCCTTTTTCCCTTTACTCTTTGCTTTCATTTTTATCATTTGGGTTGTAAGGAACGGATTAACTTCTTACTTTGTGCTTGAAACATTCGAATCCCACCATAAACTAGTCTTATTTGGTAGGAGTTCATTTTGGATATTTAAGTAAACTTTAATGAATGGTTATTTTTGTATGTTGTTATCTATTTTGTTTATGAAGTTTAATGCCTTAAGGTTGTAGGACCTATGAGAGTAGCTATTCCTTAGGAGATTACTTAGTGTTCGAGAGAATGGCTAAGTAGTACATCCTTAGTATTTAAGAGAAACTAAGGAGGAACCACATAATCAAGGGGTTCTAAGTAGTAAGTAGGCCTAATCCACCTTAGAGATAAGGCTAGGATTTCAGTTGACTAAAAGGAGTAGTGCGTGATGGAGAGGTTATATGTTAATACTGCCACAAAAAGTTATTTCCGTGACATATCCTGTTATCTATACCAATAGGATCCCTGCAGTTGCTAACACCAATCGGTTTGGTAAGGCATCTTAAACCTGTCGAGTCCCTTAACTAGAGATAGCATAGGACACCCTTAGTAAACTCTGTCAGGCAGATAAGGCATAGAAGTAAGATCATTCTAAGAAGTAGACTTAAATATCCTAAGTGACTCCTATCATTCATTCCCATAGTAGCTTGTCGTGTGAGGAGTTTAAATCATACTGTTACATTTTATTTTGCCTTTACATTTTCATTTGTTTGCACCTAACACAATATAATTTGCCACGATATATTCATTTGCTATAATCTTACCATCGTTCCATTTCCTCAACATTCATTTCATTTTGCCACAATATTCTCATTTGTACATACAATCACTATCAATACTTGGGTAAAGTAGATTGCTTTGATTGAACTTGTCAATTTCCTTCAATCCTTGTGGATACGATACTGACTCATCATTGTATTACTTGTTCAATTGTATTTACTTGCACATATTTTCGCGATCATTTATAGTACTCACAACACGCATACAAGTTTTTGGCTCTGTTGTCAGGGATCGAACTCGGTTCACTCACATGACAGGAAGGAATACTTACCACTAGACAAGCATGTGATATATGCCAACACACTGGGAACATTTCCAGATGATACGAAATGCTATTACAAAATATTCTGGAGATAGAGCCCTTTGACGTTTGGGGCATTGGCTTCATGGGACAGTTCCAATCTTCTTTTGGAGACTTGTATAGTTTGCTTGCTCTGGACTACGTATCTAAGTGGGTTGAAGCAATTTCCACACCGAGGAATGACTCTAAAACTTTGCTCAAATTTCTTCACAAGAACATCTTTACCCAGTTTGGAGCACCAAGAGCCATCATCAGTGACGAGGGCACTCATTTTGATAACAGGCTAATTGCCAAGGCATTACAAAAATATGGAGTACGTCATAAGATTGCCACAGCATATCACACAAACCAATGGGAAAGCTGAAGTGTCTAATCGAGAAATCAAGCAAATCCTGGAAAAGGTGGTAAACCCTAGAAGAAAGGATTGGTCCCCGAAGCTCGATGAAGCGCTCTGGGCTTATCGAACGATATTCAAAACACCTTTGGGAATGTCACCTTTCAAGATGGTATATGGGAAAACATGTCACCTACCTGTGGAATTAGAACATAAGGCATACAAGGCAATCAAGAAGCTGAACTTCGACGCACAATTAGCTGAGGAGTAAATGTTACTCAATCTGAATGAAATAGAAGAGTTTTGAGCACAAGCATATGAAAATGCCAAGCTTTACAAAGAAAAAACCAAGAAGTGGCATGATTGAATGCTTTTTCCACGATATTTTCATATTATCCAACAGGTGCTCTTGTTTAACTCGAGGCTTAAGCTCTTCCCTGGAAAACTGAAGTCAAAATGGTCAGGACCATTTAAAGTACACCATGTTTACCCTCATTGCGTTGTGGATATCAAGAATATGGATGATGTATCCATTTTCAAAGTCAATGGCCAGCATATTAAGGCTTATCAAGGAGTTCCACCCATGCGTGACAAATCTGCACTCCTCTTGCACGATGTCAAAACTTGCTAAGTGTCTTGAAGATGCTGTTACATTTTAGATTTACTTCTGTGCATAAATAACACTTTACTTTGCTACTGTTTTATTCAATTTTATTTTAAGTGATTAATTTATTTTTTTTCTTTGCAAAATTAGGGTCCACACAGTCGGTACGTGATGACTGTACGGTGAAAGCAAAAGGAAATGGGCGTCAACAAGACAAAAAGATGAGGGAAACTTTTTAAATTTTTCACCTTTTTAAATATTTTTAGTTTCTTTAGGGTTACTTTATTATATTTTTTGTTCTTTTTCCTGCTCATACCCCGTCCACACATTAAATAACCCCATTATTTTTACTTTTTATCTTGTTCTTATCTTTTTTATTTTTTACTTAGTTTTCATCTCTTCTTCTTCTTTTCTCCTTAGCACCGAAAAGCCATAGCCAAAAAGCTTCAAGCCTTTTTCAATTTTCTTTATCTTGCCAACTAACCATGGTGAGATCACGTCCCTCCAGTTTGGTTCCAACATCTCCATCCCGTTTCGTGGATGAATCAGAGCAAGAAAAGTTTCAAACCCTTAAAAAACCGTAGGGTATTCTTTGAGTTGGGTTTCTTTTTCTCCGACGAGGAAGATGTCAACCTTGGCAATGATGTACTGGACATTGTACACCAGCACAAGTGGAAAAAATTTGCCAAGCATCCGGAGAACGTGAACGCTTTGCTGGTGAAGGAATTCTACGGCAAAATCATTGATCCGAATCAGCATGCCATGGTGGTTCATGTTATTTCTATTCACTTTACTTCTTCAGCTATTAATAGATATTTTCATTTGCAGGATGTTATAGATAACCACACCACTTTCACGAAAGAGGCAAACAATGAAACTTACCATGGCATTTTGGAAGACCTTTATTTTTCCAACACACGATGGAATGGCCAGCAAGTGAGCCGACGAACGATGGACTGAGAGAGACTACAGTCGAGGGCCAAGTTGTGGAATCACTTCATGAAGCACAAGCTTCTCCTACTGCCCACAACACCACCGTTTCATTGCAAAGGATGCTTCTGTTGCACTTTATTTTAGTAGGGCGTTCCATTGACATAGGCAAAATCATTGTGGAACAAGTTCATACCTGTCTAAAGAGACCTTGGTATTTCCAAACCTCATTATGGCTCTATATCATTAGAAGAAGGTTCCCAAGGAACAATTTGATGAGATATTGTCTGGCCTGGCTGGTATTACAAAGGCTAAGATTCATATGTTACTTGGATTCAAGGAAACCTAGGGAAAAGAGAAAGCAGAGAACACTTCTCGTGCTGATGGAAATCCAGATGCCGTGGCAAAGTTAGATGCCGTGGAGGAGCTCACTAAGTGTACTCAAGAGCATGTCGAGCAACTAACCAGTAATATGAAGACCTTTTTTGCATATCTACAGCGCCGACATAAGTTTATTATGAATGCTTTCATGGTGATTCTCCCACATATGAATTTCAATACCCCAATATTCCCTATTACACTCTTGCAACCATCTAAAAATGCCGAAGCATTTGAATATGCTCACCATCCTGCCAATGAAAAAGAACTAATTGATCTTAATCCATTCCATACTATGTCACCAGCTGAATGTCGAGAAGACGAGCTCCAGCTTTCTACTGTACCAGAACCTCTGCAGCCTGTAGAGCCAGTGGAGGATGAACAATCTGAAATACCATAGTAAATTCCTTTGCAAAGGAGTAGACGCTGACTGAAGAAGGTGTCTAGGTGTTAGGAGCCTCAACTTTACAATCCCAGAAGGCCCCAGTACTCCCCCTACTTTTCCAACATCAGACTCTGAACAAGCCAGCCCCACACAACTGCGTAAGTGCACATGTCACACGACCGTCGCACCACCACAAGCATGAAGTCAAGATACATTGCATTGCATTTCATAGAATGTAGTTTAGATTTTCCTTAGGTTTTAGTAAGCATAAAGGACAATACTTCTCTCAAGTTATGGGGAGGTAGGGTTCCCAAGTTATTGCATGATAGTATTAGTATAATGAAAATGCCATGACATAGTAAGTGTTAGAATTAGTTTTTTGGAATAAATTAAAGATGCCCGATGATGATGAACTCTTTATGGCTAGAACTGAATGTACATGACTATTGAGGATGATAGAACCAACTCTAGGTCTTGTTTCTTTGAAACCTTTCAATACATGATTGTATGTTTTCCATGCTTAAGGAACTTAGAAATTTTTATAAGAGAATTCTTGAATGTCGTGGCATAAAAACTTGAATGAATGATAAAAACCCCATACTAAAAAAAGGAATGAAAGTATGAATAAATGCTTCGGTATATCTGCAGAGGGACACTCCGCTATGCCATGGCATTGCCTGGAAACTGCATATAAATAAATGGTAGATGTGGTATATGAGTGAATGAAAGTAGTCACGGGCTGACTCTATCGGACTAGCTTGGTGGTGGAAGGTATGCTCCCTTTCACTTAGAGTGTGGGATGGTAGGTGTGATGGGCTGACTCCCCTTGTACCAGAGTTAAAGAAAGAAAAGAAAACAATGTGGGAGTACAACTTGTAAATGTTGTGGCAAAACAAGAGAGCTTTCTTAGAAAATTTTTAAGTTTGTTAAGAATGAACTTGATACAAACACACACACACCCACACAAAGGATCTTTCCCTAGGGGATAATACTTGATTTCTCAAACTAGTCTAGCGTGTTAAAGCCAAATGTTCTGAGTGCTAAAATTTTATACCATATAAATATTCGTCTTCTGAACTTGCGATGGTATCTTTATTTCGCTTAATACTATCCATTGATTGAGGACAAGCAATAGCTTAGGTTTGGGGGTATGATAACTCCGTAAAATGGTCATATTTAGGACCTTTTCACTTAAGCTATTGACTATCTAAAAGTCCATTTAGGATCATATAGATGCATTTAGGAGCATTAGTTGCATGTAGTGGAATTATGTTTTTCACGATATTTTATTTTGTAATTGGTGTTGCTTTATGGGGAAGGTATTTGTTTGGTGATGTGTAGGATTTGGGAGCAAGGAAAAGAAAAAGGGAAATACCGTGACATGATGAGACCGCTGAGCAAAATGTAAATTTCGATTCAGTTGGCATTTCGAGAGTGAACAAAATTAAAGAAGATATTTTTCATAGCCAACCATCCCTATCTTCACGTGATCTCTACCAATGAGGATACACATGCTTGAAGGGGACCACGTGCTGCTGCAACTGATCCTGCTAGACCACACCCTACTGCAGGTACTTCTACTAGACCTCAACCTGCTACAGCCTAATCTTTTCGGGTATTCAGCCAGCCTCATAGGATAGACCACTGCCAGCTACCCAAGGGGACCACTGCCACCTTTACTCACCCTAACGTGAATAAAGCATTATTTGGGGTATCCTAGGAATTTCAACACAAATTCCTAGGTTTATTCTCCCCATATAAATAGGAGATGAATCCACCTTGCAAACAGGCTTTTACACACGCCGTCTTGAGCCAAAAATTCAAAGGAAAAATGTATCTCCTTTCTCCACCTATCATATTTGTCATTGTATTCCTTCGTTGACAAGCTAGAGGGAGTGGAAAACTATGTGTCTAAGAGGAGCTAGCTCACTGGGACAATTTGTGGTGGCCGAGGGAAGCTCCGTTAGTGCACGTCGAAGGCTTTTCCTCTTTCCCTTTGCTCTTTGCTTTCGTTTTTATAATTTGGGTTGTAAGGAACAGATTAACTTCTTGCTTTGTGCTTGAAACATTCGAACCCCACCATGAACTAGTCTTATTTGGTGGGAGTTCATTTTGGATATTTAAGTAAACTTTAATGAATGGATGTTTTTATATGTTGTTATCTGTTTTGTTTATGAAGTTTAATGCCTTAAGGTTATAGGAGCTATGAGAGTAGTCATTCCTTAGGAGATTACTTAGTGTTCGAGAGAATGAATAAGTATCACATCCTTAGTATTCAAGAGAAACTAGGGAGGAACCACATAAGCAAGGGGTTCTAGGTAGTAACTAGGCCTAAACCATCTTAGAGATAAGGATAGGATTTCAGTTGACTAAACAAAGTAGTGCGTGATCGAGAGGTTAGATGTTAATACTACCGCAAAAAGGTATTACCGTGACATATCATGTTATCTGGACCAATAGGATCCCTGTAGTTACTAACGCCAATCAGTTTGCCAATACATCTTAAACCTGTTGAGTCCGTTAACTAAAGATAGTATAGGGCACCCTTAGTAAACTTTGTCGGGCAAATAAGACATATAAGTAAGATCATTATGAGAAGTAGACTTAGATCTCCTAAGTGACTCCTATCATTCATTCATATAGTAGCTTGTCGTGTGAGGATTTTAAAGTCTTGATAATCAAATCCTATTGTTACATTTTATTTTGCCTTTACATATTCATTTGCTACCATCTTATCATCATTCCATTTCCTCAGCATCCATTTCATTTTGCCACAACATTCTCATATGTATATACCATCACTAACTATACTTAGGTTAAGTAGATTACTTTGATTGAACTTATCAATTTCCTCCAATCCCTGTGGATACGATACTCACTCATCACTGTATTACTTGTTCGATTATGTACACTTTCACATATTTTCATGATCATTTAAAGTACTCACAACACGTGGACACATTACTAGGAACTCATAATAAATATATCTTGTCCTGAAAACATTCTTCGCAACATCTAGATCCTTAACTTTAAACTGGTAGTAGCTTGACCGTAGATCGATCTTTGATAAAATGTATGCCCCTCTAAGATGATCGAAGAGGTCATCTATCCTAGGGAGTAGATAACGATTATTGATGGTCAACTTGTCTAAATGCCTGTAGTCGATGCACAACCTCATCGACCCATCTTTCCTTTTAAAGAACAAGACCAGTGTTCCCCACGTAGAGATGCTCAGTCAGATGAACCATTTTTCTTGTAACTTTTGAATCTCCTCCTTTAATTCTTTTGGTTTTGCTGGTTCCATACAATAAGGAGAAATGGACGCTGAAGCTGA